AATTTTTAGTTTCCTGGTAATCTCTTTGAACCTGCTTCCACCATCGACTTTTTCTTGTGTGGTGCTTAGCATTTCTCTAACTATTCTACTTATATATTGCTTTATTTCCTTAAATACTTCACTTTTGAACTCGTCTATGAGGCTCTGGAGATATCACTTTATGTCTATTGGTGCCATATCTGTTGCATGTCTTCTGTCCTCCTTTTCCTTTACTTTTCCTGGATCAGTGTTCTCAGGATTGGGGACTGAGGACCCTTTCTTGTTGCTCCCTCTTCCCATACTTTTTGTTCCTTCCATACAAGCGTATATAGGAGGCCCAGTTTTTTTCTTTGTCGGTCACAGTTTGTTTGAATCTGCTGGCTAGGTGTTCACGCCCACTGCAGTGCACTAGGGAGACACAGACCTGGGCAGCCTCTGCTGGGCCCGCCCCTCCAGGTCAACCTACTGAAGATTTTACTGCTAGGATGCACCTCCAGGTGCTGGGACCTGGTTTGGACTAGCGGGGACCAGGTCTTAGTCAGCGGTGTCCCCCAGGCCAAGCCCTCCGCACCAATCCCGCTTGAGAGGGGAATATGTGACTAAAGTCACTGCAGCGTCCTGTTCCAGCTAGTCTGCCCAGTCCCAGTATGTCCTTTGCTGGAGCCTCCTACTCTATGGAAGGGTCCCCGTTCTGCTCATTCACCACAGGTCGATGCAGAGCTCCCTGCCAGTCCCGCCTTCAACTCCGTTCACTGATTCCCGCTCTCAGAGTTTTCACGTGTCTCTCTCCCTGCTGTGCCGATTGGGACGTAGCAGCAGCAGCAGGAAATTCAAATCGCGGCTTCCAGAGGTGCGGGTTCCAGCTTCAGCACTGAGATTTTATGTGTTCCTGTTGTAGCATTGGGATTCCATCCCCAGTTGGTTTCTCTCAGCTTAGTTCATTCCTGGGTTGACAGGGTATATCTCCCCTTCCTTAGGACTCCTCGCATTGCACCACTCCTGGATTCTAAGCGGGATATCTCAGAGAGCGTCTGTAGCTGCTGTTATCTATCTGCCATATTCCAAGGCTATTGGTTTTTGAGTGTTGACTTTGTAACTAGCTATGTTACTGAATTTTGTTATTCAATCCAAAAGTCTTTTGGTGGAGTTTTTGGGATCTTCTAAGTAGAGTATCATGTCATCTGCAAATAATTGTAATTTAATTTCTTTTTTTTTTTGTCTTTTTCCTTTTTATCGGCACCAAGGATCGAACTCACGACTGCCTGCTTTCAAGGCAGGTGCTTATGCCGCTGAGCTAAACCCCCAGCCCCGTAATTTAATTTCTTCCTTTATTCCTTTTATTACTTTTTCTTGTCTTTCTTTTCCTGGTCACTGACTGTAAGCCTGTCTTCAATATCTGAGATCCTGTCCTAACATTGGCCTAATCTGCTTCAAATACTTTCAGTGCAGTTTTTATTCTCTGGGATATCTGCTTGAATCTGCTTTATGGGTTCCATTTGTTTCCTATGCCATGCTTCCATAATTTGCTTATTTTCATCTATTTTTTAATCTGTGTCTGTTCTAATGTTATGAAGCATGGTGTGTTTGGTAATCTCTGTAGTTATCTGAGAGATTATTTCAGATTTCGTTTTTTACAGAGCCTCATTCAGTTGCTTTGCTGTTTCTACTTCAGAGAGACCTGGTGGGGTGCTTTTGGGTTGTCCCACTTCATTGCTTCCTGGGTTTGCCTTTGGTGAACTAGATGTCTGGGTTTGCATTTTGTTGTTTGTCTTTTCATTTCTTTTCTTTTTCTAACTCCAGGAATGATGCTTTTAAGTTGCCTGCGCTGGGTTGCTTTATTGGTAGTATTTAGGACACTTAGGTGATGGTTACTTCTCTGAGGTATGTTCCAGGTGTAGCTAGTTTTTGGATTTTGAGTCTGTTGGAAGATCTTACATCTTCAGTTTGTTGGAGATGAGAGATTTGGCCTACTCCCTGATTCTTTGGCACTGTGCACAGTGTTTTTTGTGACCCTTAGTTAATCTCAGTGATGGGTTATTAGACCACCAGCTGTTTTAGAACAAGTATGTCAATTTTGACTGTATTGGTACCAGTAGCATCAAACACAACCTAGAAAACAACAAACTGAGCTAACCCTTAATTTACAACTTTTTAACCATTATGAACTAGATTTGTGATTACAACAATATGTAAAACAAACCAGATAATTATATGCAATATGTAAGTCTGTAATGTGTCAATTTTGCCCTTGGGGTTAAAATTTAAAATGGATTAAGGAGAAAACAGAGAGGTAGAAAAAGAGAAAGAAAGATTATAAGTAAGGTTGGGGAACAAAGATGGATCCTACCAACTTGGGGAAACTGGTGCAGAAGACTGAAGGGAAAGATAGATAGAAGAGATAAAAGGTAGAACAGAACAGAACTACACCCACTAAAGGTTAAGAACCACTTTCACACTCATAAAAAAAAAAATAAAAAACCAAACAAACAAACAAGAAAAAACAAAACAAAAACGCACATGCATAACACACACACACACACACACACACACACACACACACACACACAAAACCAAACAGCCTGCTTGCAGGATTCTCTCTGGGTTCAGTAGTAGACAACCTGTGGAGACAGAGTCCCAAATCGTGCCCCTGTGTCCCAGCCACTGTTCCCCAGCTGGCCAGCGCTGCTTTATGGCAGAGTAGCAGATAACCTTACACGCCTGCCCTGAGACAGACTCACTGGGTTTGCTGAGCAGTTTCCACAGCTCTGTGCCCAGCTAAGCGCTGCTGGAGGAAGCTGGCAGCAATTTTGAGTCTGGGCTTATCCTGCCGGACTCCAGAATGGCTTCCGGCCAATCGCTGCCTCTCCTGTGAGAGGACTGAGTCCTCGGCACTCGGCCAGCCAGTGGATCCTCCTCCACTGCTGCATCTCTCTGCAGAGGCCTCCGGGGTCACCAGCCGCCACTGTCACCGTGACCACCTTGTTTCCCCAGATTCTGGAGACAGCTCTCGCGCAGTGCGGCCGGCTCTTGGGGAAGGTGCTGCCAGCTACTGCCACCTTCTTCACTGAAGCTTTTTTTTACTCTCTCTGGGCTCAGGTCACACTTGAGATTCGGGCTGGGTCCAGGGGACCCACTTCCTTCCTCCTTGTCCTCCTCACAATGCTATATTCCACCGTCGGGATGGTGACTCTCTGAGAGGCCTTTCTCTCTGCTGCTTACTGTTCCGCCATCTTCCTGGAAGTCTCCAGCTCGTTTTTATTTTTTGTTTTGCGACATGGTTCTGTCAGGTTGCTAATTTCCAAGGCTGGGCTCATACTGAAGACCTTGCTACTTTAGTCTTCCAGTATGCTGCGACTCAGCCTAATCAGGTTTTCTGTTGCTTCTTGAATCGGTTAACATAATTTGTGTCTCTCTAGGAGTTTGTCTATTTTATCTAAGTTACCTAGTTTATTTGTGTATAGTTGTTTATGTTATTTGCTTATAGTCTTTTTTCCTGATGTATGGTTGATAGTAATGGCCTCTCTTTAATTCCTGAATACAATAATTTGAGTGTTATTCTTGGCCAGTCTAGTTAAGAATTTATCTTTGTTACTCTTTTATTGTGGATAGGATCTATGGTAACGAAACTTTTGTTTCTTGATGCTGGTAATTTTAACTTTCTTTTTTCTTTATGTGTGTATGATGTATATGTATATGTGTATGTTTATATCTATGTATATACATATATGTAACTGCAGATATATACAAAGGACAACTAAGATATATAGTGAATATGTAAATTTTTAAAAAATTTATTCAATAAGAGACACATTGAATTAATCTCAGAGCACTTTCCCTTACTTTAAACACACTTATACTATCATTTTTGCCACTTAGTTACTCAGTCCTGCAAGTGCTCTTTCATGTCTCTATGAGGTGTCATCAAAAATATGGAGACTGCTGCCGCCAAGCGCCACCCAAGGGAAAGGAGGGCCTGTAAAACACTGTAGTGTGTCCTCATGCACCTTGCTCACTAGTTGTGGCACTGTGCAACTTCTGGCTCTTTCCTAAAGTCAAAATAACTGTGAAGAGGTAAACATTTTGAATTGATTCAGCACATCGTGGCAGCCACGACAGTACGACTGAAGACATTCAGGAAAGAGGACTTCCAGAGCTGCTTCATAGCTGCGGACACAACTCAGTGGACTGCACCTCCTGGCAAGCGCAAGGTCCTGAGTTTGATTCCCAGTACCCACAGAGCGGTTTCATAAAGTGGCAGAAATGAAGAGATAAATGTGACTAAGCAAGTAGGAATGTTTTGAGGCAGATTAATTGTAACGTCTTTTACTGCAATAAATTTTTTATATTGAAATATTTTTTTATTACACTGTATACACACAAACTCTCACACACAATAGATGGCATGTGATAGAATACACCACGAATTTGGTAACATTGGTTGCCTCTGGAGACAGGAATTGAATGGCAATCCAGGGATTAGTGAGAAGGACACATCACTGATTATTTCCCGCCACATTTTGATTTTTGTATTATGTGAAGGTATTCTTTAAAATAACCTAAAAACGTGCTGACCTAATGAAGACCATTGGCTATGTTAGAGGCCTGCGGGTTTTTTTTAGGAAGGGTCTTACTGTGTATTCCAGCCAGGCCTAGAACTCACTGTGTATCTCAGACGGCCCTGAATTTGTGGCAGTCTTGCCTGAGTATCCTGAATGCTGGGATTACAGTGGTCACAACCTGAGGTTCTTTTTTTTTTTTTTTTTTTGGTCTTTTTCCTTTTTATTGGTACCGGGAATCAAACTCAGGACTGCCTGCTTGCAAGGCAGGCGCTTATGCCACTGAGCTAAATCCCCAGCCCCGACCTGAGGTTCTTGACCTTGACTTATTTTCTTCTGTCACTGTTTTTCTTTCCCTTTGTAGGTCCTTCTGGACCAGTCTGTTAGAACAAGTTTCAGGGTGAAAAATTGTAATGCTGTGTTTCTGTCTGTGGATGATAAAAGCTTTTTATCTTTGGTCTACAGAACGACCTGCTGGTTGGTCTGAGTCTGTCGTTGAGGAAGACACGTCTGAGCTTGAGCCTGTCTTCCCCAGGTAAACCTCTCCGGTTCTCTTTAGTCTTCAGTTTAGCCCCTGCCTAAGGGTGTGAGAGAGATCCTTTGTGGTTGTCCTGAGGCAGATCTGGGGAGCACATTTATAACTCAGGCTTATAAGGGGCGTACAAATGCACAGGAGCCAGACGTGACTCACTCATGTTCTTGCGGACAGGAAGCCCATTTACTTCTTCCTTGGGAGTGGGGGTGGGGCACAGCCTTACGGCAAAGCTTCCTTTTCCTAGATGGGCACATTGGGTTTACTTTACCAGGTTGCCAATGGAGAAGGAAGAACAATGTCAAAGGGTCACACTAGTCTGATTTTAGCTAAGATGGCCAGCCTCTAATTAACATGGAAAAAATTTGTTGGGTTTCAGTCATTTGGGAGCATCACATAAAAAATCTTAATAAAGCTCACAGAAAAAGTGGTTAGAGGTAAATGTGATAACTTTTGTTGATTAATCTCTCCCCCTCCCATCCCTGTAGGACTGTAGGCACCATCCAGCACTGCCTCCACCTGACTTCAGTGTATACCCATTTCCTGCCCCAGCATGGCTGCCCAGAGGTCACCACAATGCCCTTAGGTCTTGGAATGACAGTGGATTATATCTTTTTCTCAGATGAGTCCTGTGAGAATAGGAACAGAGCTGGTAAGCTTGTTGGGCCCTCGAAGCCGCTTCCTGGGAATAGGTGAAGCATTTGGTGGTGTGGCATGGGCTGCTGAAACCTGACCTGGGTCTGGGGTCCTTAATATTCTCCCTGTAGGCCACCTACCTGCCTTCTTTTTTTACCCTTGAAACATCAGAGAGAGGTGGGTGGAACAGTCAGTCTCCATCCCTGACTTAAAGGAAATAGAGCACCAGGAGGAGATTAGATTTGTTGAGGGGCAGCTAGTCAATGGATTTGGTAAGGTTAGAGAGCCAGTGTTCCTTTCCCTACCCCAAACCAGCAGTCATAGCAGTTTACCACTCACTGATACTATCATGGGGTCTCTGAGCAAGTGCATGAAGTGGGCTGGGTGGGGCCAGCCAGGGGGATGTGGGTGGAGAAGACATGGTTCCCAGAGCCTGCCCTGCCTGCTGGACAGTATAGCTGGGGCTCTTCTACCCACTGGCTTCTGCTTTGTGCCCCAGATGACGGGCTGGTTCGAGATGGAACTCTCAAACTGCTGGGCCGCCTCTCCCTCCTCTCTGAAGAGATTCTCTGGGCTGCCAATGGCTTGCCCAACCCCTTCTGCTCTTCAGACCATCTCTGCCTGCTAGCCAGCTTCAGCATGGAAGTCACCGCCCCGTGACAGCCCAGGGGAGAGAGCTTCTCTACTGGAAGAGCTCACTGGATCAGTGACTGTGGAAATGCCCTGCTGTGGAAACTCACGTCCCTCTTCTCATTCCCTCCAGCGTGTCCACATTCTCGCCTTCTGGTCCCTGCCCTGCCCCAGCCTCTTCCTGATCCTGTACCACCTACTCAGTGGTCCTGGGAGAGGCAGAAGAAGCAGGGGTTCCCTCTTACCTTCATGTACCTGGTGCTCCCCTGTAACTTTAATTACCAGGGTTTGGGAGCTTTTGATCTTATTGGTTATTTGCTTTCAGGCTGTCTCTTGGGGGTACCTTCTGACCCAATCTTCCTCCTGTCTTTATGACCTCTGGGCCCAGCCCCCTTGCCGGGATGCACACAAGATGTGTGTCCTCTTGGGCTGGGGCTACCACTTTCCACACGGAGCTGTGGGCCTAGGGAGGGTAAGAGCGTGGCCCTGTGGCTGGATGTTGCCAGAAGGCAGCAGGGTGGGGGCCCTTTTCCTTTATCCTTTGAGTTCCTCTAGTCACCTTCCTGCCAGCCAGGGAAAATTGTTATCTGGGTTCTGGGAATGTACGGGCCTGGAAGCTGGGTGGGGGACAGTGCACCACCTGTTCAGGGAGCTCTTTGCCTCTGTCGCAGAGCTCCCCACAGTCCTGGCACATCCCTTCCCCCAGGCTGCCCTGAGGGAGACAGAAGTTTGAAACGTTGTGTCAGGTTCAGTGGGCTGGGGCCCTGGTGTGAAGTTTAAAACTTCAAGGACTAGAAACTTGTCTCACTGGACTCTGCGGCAGGGAGTGAGGTAGAGCCCTGGCAGGAAAGACGCCGGTACGACTCACAGAGTAAGGGGCCGCCTGTCTTCCTGTGCACACCCAGGAAGCAGCGTTCTGCTCTTCCCTCCTCTTACCACTTTAGACCTTACCCACCTCCCTCTCCCCCATCCCTTCCATGCTCTCTGCAGAAAATCTTGCCAGGTAGCTCAGGCCACACTTTCCCAGAAAAATGGTGGCTTTGAGTGAAATTAGTACTGAACTGTGGGTGGCAATGCTTGAGGATCGCTGTATCCAACAAGGCCCAGGTGGTGTTTGCCTCTCTTTTCCCTCCGCTGACACAGTGCCCTGGTCCCCTCGGGGACCCCTAGCCTGTACCACGTTGTCTGCCTGCCTGCCTGCCTTATTCTTTCATTGCTGAGGAGTGGCCTGGGCTGCTCCTGGGCCAGCGCTTTCCCTCAGTCTCCCTTAACTCAGAGGAGCTGCTGGCTCTGATCAGTTTGCCCTGCTGTTCTCCCCTCAGCCACCAGATGAGGCTGGAGGGAGTGGCTAGCAGGCTGAACAGTGGGCTGGAGTTTAATGTTCTTTCCTTCTTTTTTTTTTTTGAAAGCCAATGACCCTACTTGAATTGTGTATTCCTGGTTGTAAGTTTTCCATGCCTAGGTTTTGGGGGGTTTTCTGTGTGTGTATATTTTTTAGCTTTGTTTCTTGGGTCCTGGCATGAGCCTGTCTGAGCCCCAGGCCTGTCAGACCATACCCCACTGTTCACTTTGGCTCACGCTCTGTCTCTGGGCATCTCCCGAGATGGCCTCAAGGCAGTGTTCTCTTGGTCCCTAGGATGAGGGGACACCACTGGTGTCTTTTACCTGAAATGCAGGGTGAAAAACAGCCAAAGATGGCAGGGGCCAGAGCTTGACTTTTCCTTGTTTTATTTGTTTCTGTTTTGGAAATGAAATAGGGGTTTTAAATGAACATTTAAGCTGCACTCTGCAGTCTGCAGAACTGAGGCAACTTTTTCCAAATAAAGGTTTACCTTTCCTCATTGTTGATCTTTTCATTAGGACCTTGAAGAGACTGGGATTTTGAGAGTGGTCTGGAAGATGAGGTGGGCAGAGGCAGAATTGAGGAGCTTTGGACTTTGGGGTGGGGTCTCAAGTAAGGCTACTGTAATCTACCGCTGTTAAACTCCCTCTGCTGTAGGCCTGGAGGAACAGGATTTGAGTGAAGCTTCCTGCCATGGCTTTTCTGGGGTACCGCTCCCTTCTCTAGCCCTGTGTGAGCGGAGAGTGGCTCTAACCTCTTTTGTTATTCCATATGCTGCCCACAGGCCTCATGTGACCCAAACCACATCTTGGGAGGATCTATTTGGAAAGTGGGGAAAGCTGTGTGTTTTCCTGGTCAGAGCTATGGCAGCTGCATGAGGCAGGATGCATGTGGCAGATGCCTCTTGCTGAGTGTGTACTTCTGATCATCTGTTTTGCATTCTGGAGCCAGAGCTGAGCTGGGGGCCATCTGTCACTGGAAACATTTCTCTTCTTTGCAAAGCCCACCTCTGCTGGTTATTTTTGTCCTTTTCCAGCCTCCCTGTGCAATAAATTCAAGCAAGGTCGTGTGAAACCAGGTGTCTGCCTTACCTGAACAGATGATTAGACCCTATACTTGACCTCTGAGTCATTCTTTAGGAGTTCAGGTTATTTGAAAACCATCTGGTGTCTCTGATGTACTGCCTGGGTTGGGACCCATTGATTTCATAGAACATGTAGCTGGGGATTAAGAATACCACTCATCATCTTGTCCAGGTTGGTTCATGACTGTAGATAAATTACCCTTCTGCACTTCAGTTTACATCCCTTGGTGAAATGAAAATTAAAGTAATACTCATTTCTATTTGTAAGGAAGTTTCAGATCTGCTTTGTTTGTTCTGTAACAAGAAAGGGATGCTTAGACTTCCAGAGAATTACAGTAGGGGTTAGGGTAGGGATAGCAAGTCGTTTAGAGCTTTCAGTGACTACAAACAGTGACTGTAACACATATACTGTAGGTTCACCCCACTATGTTAGAAGGTAGGTAGTGTTCCCCACCTAGGCTGGATTTGGCCCTTGGGTTTAGAACTATTTGAAAGCTCCAAGCTTTTATTTTTTAAAAAAAAATTTTTCGAGACAGCATCTTGCTGTGCAGTTCAGGCTGGCTTTGAACTCACTTTGTAGCCAAGGCTGGTCTCGAATTCTCAGTGGTCCTCCTGCCTCAGCCCCACAAGTGCTGGGATTACAGGGATGCACCACGATGCCAGCCTGAAAGCTCCAAGCTTTGAGGTGTAGTCCCTTCCTGGTATGAGAGACTCCAGTTAACTTCAGTCATTTAACGTGGGCATGACACTGGTGTTAGCTGTTTACTCTGTGCTTCCACTCCCATTGGCACAGTGAATATACTACAGGGGGACAGTTCAGATTGTATTGTTACCACTGAGAAAGCAAATCCCAGAGCGGTAAGTTGATAGTCATGAGACTGCTTCATTTCTTACCAGCTTAAGTGCCACAACCCATGCAGCCAACTGGTCTTGAGGGGGTAACAGGAGAATAAGAAAAATCTAGACACACATTAAAAGGAAAGCTGGGACCAGGTGGTACTTGACTTCTCTGATGGAGAGGCAGTAACAGCCCAGCATGGTCTGTGTCTTTCTTTTTTTTTTTTTTTTTTTTTTTTTTTGAGACAGGGTCTCTATGCAGTTCAGGCTGGCCCTCACTGTGTAGCACAGGCTGGTTTCGAACTCCCAATGATCCTCCTGCCTCAGCCTCCCGAGTGCTGGGATTACAGGTGTGAGCCGCCATGCCCAGCTTGTGTATTTATTCTATACAGTAGAAACGTGGGGAAGCGTGCCATGGAGCTGAAGGTGCAAGGTCTCAGAGCTATCTGTGCTGCCGTTAACGGGGAGGAACACCAAGGCCAGACACTGGCCTTGCTCTAGTCTCAGCACCTTGTTTACGTGTCTCACCCCTGGCTCAGCCATGGCTCTGCTGCTCTCTACATCTAAGCATCTCTGAACCCAGCATTTCTGAGAGTCGGCAAGACAAGCTATCGCCTACCAGGGCGGACAAGCACCTGGCAGGAGCCTGGGAAGGGAACCTCAGAGGCAGCTTTAAGCTGGAGACCAAGAAGGGAAAGTTAACTAGGGTGCTGCGTGTTTTTGTTTGGCTTTTCTTTCCAGTTCCTGGCCTGGTGTAGCTATGAACTAAAGGACTGGTTTTTTGGCCACTTACATAAGGCACATTAGGCCTTTACTCCTCCCTGGGAAGGAGGGCCCACCTCCTCTAGTTTCCATTGGCACACTCCTACCCTCTCTTCTTCCAAGCAAGTGTGCAAAACTGAACTGTTGCAGACAAGCAGCCAGCCAGGTGAGAGCCCGGTGGGGTGCACGCTGGCCTGGATGGGAAGAAGGTGAATTTCATGTGTTTTAAAGGGAACTCTCTCCTCTGCCTCAGGCAGTTCCTATGACCTTAGGGCCTGGCCTCAGCCAGCTGTAGAGAGAATGAAGCTTCCACACTTAAGGTTCCTGGAGGTTTTGTTTCCCAAGACCAAATCCTTTCTGGCGGGGAATTGGAAGGCATCCATGTATTTGTGCACATTGTCCTGTGGGCTGGACTCAAGAGAACTATCACTGACCTGAGGTCCCCCATCTTCATCACCCGCCAGGCCTCAGCAGCTGGTCCATATATCCCCACTGGCAAACCCAAGGATTACCAGGCAGCCAGTGTCTGGGCCAATCTGCATAATCTGTAAATTTAACTGCTTCCCAGTAGCAGCCAAAATGCCAGGTTCTGCCAGATGGGGGCGACAGAGTTTCAGTCTCTTCACTTTCAGGGCTCTGAAGTGCTGTCTGCATCCAAAAGTCCAACTCAATTTACATGCACAGTTCCTGTGCCTGGATTGGACACTGCACTCAGCTGTTACTGCTGTGAGCTTGAGAACCAGGGCAGCAGGGAGTAAACCAACACCCTCTCCCCAGGAAGTTGAGTTCTGATCCTCCTGTGAGTGTGCTGTGACACTTCTGCATTCTAAGAAGATGGCCTAGCAGTGTCCACAATGAGCCTGCTGGGCTCAAGACACAAAGGCTTGCCCCAGCCCTCCCTCCCACAAGTGTTCCCAGAACCCTTTGTGTATGGGCTGTCTCATCAAAATGCCCACTGGGCCCCTTGCTGTGTTAGCTGGGCGTGGGGAAGGCTGTACACCCCAAGTTAGTCACAACTGTAATTACCTGTAGAACCTACAACAAAATTGCATCTACTTAATGGCATAATCAGGATTCCCACAGCCAGCCTTTCCTACCTCCAACTGCATGCCTTCCCCACAAACCCTGGTCATCACCACACTACTGAAAATAAGCTGTATTCAACTGTGCTTCCAGCGTGGGTTTTATAGAGGGGGACTGGCTGGCATAAAAAATTTTTTTTTTACAGGTCTGACTTTCGCTCCTAACCTAAATGGACAGCAAAGACTTGGGGGTGGGGGGAAAGGTTAGAGCTGGAAAATGATGTAGGGTCTTCAGGGATATTCCCTGTGAGAGTCTTGTTCCAATTGTTTGGGCTTGTCAACAGTTGAAAGAGGTCCAGAGCAAAGAGGGGCAGTGGAGAAGGGGCGTGGGTGGATGCAGAGACTAGGAACTGATGTGAAGGGGCTTCAGAGCCCTGTTGCTATGGTTTCCTGAAACAAGCTTGTCTTCTGTAAGGACACCCCATTCTTCCTTGCTCTTGATGGACTGCTGTGGGCTCAGGCAGGGAGAGCAGGGCTGCAGACACATCCCAGGGGCAGACTTGGGCCCAAACCTACCATATGAGGTGGAAGGAGCCTCATTATGGCTTAACAGAGATGCTCCCAGAGCTGCCTAAGATCTGAGTGCCTTGGGCAGCCTGAGAATCTTCTCTCCTGGATGTTCACAGGTCTTGGGCTCCACTCACTTTATTCAGGTTCCTTCTACAGCCAGTGAAGCTGATACCTGTGGGGGTGTGGTGGGCTCGGGTCCCAGCTCCCAAGGGAAAGGAGACAAGGCTTCACGTTGTGATTTCTGTCCAGCCCACACAACTGGAACTGGAGAGATTTTATTTGTTTCAGGGGAAAAGTGAGGACAGGAATGAAACAAAATGTGAGTGGGAAGGGAGGGGCAAATACTGCTATGAGGACAGGAAGAATGTCCATGACAACACAGTAGCCAGACACAAGGCTGGGGAGTGAGTGCCCATCACCAGGCCATGGCCAAGGACACCCAGGTCTCTCTCCTCTTATCAGAGTGGGGCAACCCGAGACCCTGGAGCACCATGGTGGGCAAGAGGGTCACATCGAGTGCCCTGCAGCTAGCACCGTGGCAGTCCTGCTTGCCTGAGGAAGCGGGTAGGAAGCAGACCTTCACCCCTTCAGAGCATGCCGTCTACCTGCTACACCATTAGTAGCTGGGTGCAGCGCGACCATCCTGCATTCCGAGGCTGGGGACACAAGGCCTGTGATGCTGCCTCAGCTAAGCCAGTCTGCATTCCAAGCAGGAAAAGCAGGTGCACATGCACGTGGGCCTCTGGACATTACCAGCAAGAGTTCCATGGACTCCTCGAGCCAGAGTCATGCCCAAGATGGAAAAGTGGAGCCTGAGGTGTCAAAAGGGCCAGAAACCAGACACACTGAACTTCAGGGCTCTTTCTGCTGCCTGGCATGGTGGCCCTATGCTTTATCACTGCCCACAGGGACCACAGTGCTGCTGCTTTCCACGCCTGGCCAGGCCTGTGAAAGGACGGGGTGGGTGGCATGATGGGTGAGTGTGAACGCTGTGAGGCTGTGGAGGGAGAGCACTGGCAGGCAGAAGGGAAAGCTTGCTGGGGCCAGCTTCCGGTGTTCTGCCCTGACACCCAGCACAGGGAGCCAGGCTTTGGCAGGACTCTGCAATATCTGCTCCCCTGGCCACCTCTACCAAGCAGCTTCCTCTGACCTCATCTTGATTCCTGTCATCGGTTTCCCCCCGAGCCCCGCAGGGGAAGAGGAGCTTGAAGGCAGTCCCGAGTGGAGGGGAGCTGGGTCACATCAGCCAGGCCTCTATCCCTCATAGGAAGTGAGATGAGGTGATACCATGGATGGTGACTAAGGCCCCAAAGCCCCTGCCTGCCTCCCCAGAAACCTCACAGCCAGGCCGGCCCCAGACAGCAGAGCCCATGTAAACAGCCCAGGAGGGGAGGAGGGTTGCTACATATGAAAAAGTTAAAAAAAACAAAAGCACCGCTGGTGTCCTGTGGTGGTCTCCACAGGCCTGAGGCCTCAGCTCAGGAAGGGTGAGTACCAGGGGCTTCCAGCGAGGGTCAGTGTCCTCCCAGACAGCAAGCAGGGTTAGGGCTCCACTCTACTCCCTTCTGTCATGGGCTCAGGAGCCTAAGGCAGCACCTAGGGCGCTGGGACTGGGAGCAGCTTCCTCCACGTCCACTGGTTCCAGCCCCTGGCTCTTTCTCACATTCCCCGCTGTACCCTGTCGTTTCTGGAAATTCCCAGAGGCATCCAGGGCTGTCTGCCTGTGGATGAGCTTCAACCAGAACAAGAACCAGAACCACAACCAGAACCAGGAGGAGTCTGAAGGTGGCCAACTGTCCTTGTGTTACGAGTAAAGGACCACTGTCTCCACTCCCAAAGCTGAGATGGGATAGTGAGTCACATGTAACCATGCACCTCATTGTTCTGGCCAGGGTGTAGCCTGAGGGCAGGTTAGGGACCTTCCCAGGGTGGCTCTGGCTGGGCCCTGCTGGGCTGGCTTTGGGCCAAGGACTGGTGGTCCGAGCTGCCAGCCTCCAGTGCCTTCCCTGCAAGCACTCTCATCAGCGAAGGTGTCTCTGCTCCTCCCTCCTCCCCTCCTCTGCTCCCAGGCCCATCCATCTCCTGGTAGGCTGAGCACTAGACCATCTCTGTGTCCTTCTGGTGGAGTCTCAGCTGCCAGGGCCTCCCCTTGACTGCTCAGCCCAGCTCTGGGGAGCTCAGAAGTATCACTTTCCACTACCCAGCACCGCAGTGGACTCTTCCCAGCACAGCTTCTGTCTCTACACCAGAGATTGCAAACTGGCATTCTTTTTACCTATGCTGGATTTTTACATTTTAAACAAATCATCAACTCTTACAAGTCAAGATTTCACACACAAATGCAGAGTTTTGGCTTTTGAAAAAACCAGATAATCTGGCTGCACAGGGCCTGGAACTGAGAGATGGCCATCCCTTTAGTGCGGTATGCCCTCTTGAGTGTGCCATGGTCCCCACCCAGTCCTGCCACCCACCTCTTGGTCACCTGCTGGCCCTGTGGGCATTTGAGTTTATAGTTTTAGTTCTGGTCCTTTATGGAAGCCCCCAGTCCATCTGCAGCCTTGACTGTGGCCCTGACTGATTCACAGCCTCCTGCTGAAGTAAAACCCTTAATGGCCACCTCATCCAGCTGCCCTTCCACGACCTGCATCTGCTCTCCCACTTCCTGACAAGTAGCCTTCTATGCTGTAGGAACTCACTCCTCCCAAGGCATCCTAATCCTAGCCTCCTTCCCACACCTTTCTCACTTACATCCCCAGTTCTTGGGCACTGTCCTGCCTTGGTGGCCACACTGCACAGCTGCCCTGCACTTCTCATTAACTGGATCTTCAGAACCTTTCCTCGAGCTTGGCAACCTCTCTACATCCTCAGGCCCAAAGGGGCAGAACGTGAATGACCCCATCTGTTCAGGCTCTTTCCAAACATGGCCGGCCCCACCATCACTATAACCACCTCCTAACTGGGCTGCTAAACCAGGGCAGTGGGCCCGGGGCAGTAGTATCTGGAAGGGGAAGAAGCCACTCCTGGCACTGCCAGGGGAAAGACCCAGGCCCAAGGGTTCCACCCACCCCATCATCCTGTGCCCACCTACAGCTCCCAAACTGGTCTGTCTGCTCAATCCCCAGTCATGCTGACCCAGTGTCTAGTTTTCTGCAAAGCCCAGACCCTCTGCAGGGAGCCCCTTGGGCTGCTGCAACAGGCAAGAGCAGGATGAGCCAGCAGACCCTGTTAGGGGTCTGGAACCCCCTCACCCAGGGTCCTCTCCCAGCTCTTCCACAGCCTGACTACAGCACAGGCTCAGCCAGTATGCTTGTGGGGCCACCATGGCCTGAGTTGTCTCCCTACTCTTGAGCAAATGAGGCTTGCACCAAGCTCCTGATTTAAGACCAACACAGACCTTTGCCAGGAAGATTCCTACCCTGCTTCCCTTTGCCTGGGTCAAAATTCTGTCAGGGCATTCTGCCCAATTGGAAAAATACTTCTACCCCCACCCCAGATCCTCCCACAGGTTGATGGGGCCCAGAAATAGCCTGTATAGGACACACTCAAATCCCAGAGGGGCACTGCCACAGGAGTACCAAGCTGTCCTCCCTTAGCCCCATGGCTCTCAGGTCTCTAAACAGTGTCCTTCCAGCCACCAGCACATCTATGTATCTTTTTCCCCCCAACATTTTAAACTTCAGTGGTAGCACTAAAAACCCCCAGACAAAACACTAACTGCCTCTTGGCCCAGAGTTAGGGGCTTGGTTCAGTGGAAGGGGAGCAGCATGAAGCTGAGCTGTCACACACCCTTCCTGCGGTTCCTCACACCCTAAGAGTATGACTGCAGCTGGGTCCAGCAGGTGGGTCCTGGTCTCTAGAAGCAGGAGGTCAAGGGTGCCAGCATCCACCTTCACACTCGAATCTGGTACCCATTGAGGTCTGGCATGGCTTTGGGCTCTGAAGGCTTCTTATCACCCGACGGCCTGCAGGACGAGCAGAGGAAACAGGAGGGTGTGGTGGTCAGAGAGTTGCAGGAGGTAGGAACAGTTATAGCCAACTGGCTCCCAGCACTCTTCTCCCAGGGGCCCTCCAAGGTGGCAGCTGAGGATGTGTGGAAGTGTGTTTCTGGAAACTGGCCACCCCGTGTGTCCTGAATGTGGTTCCTGCTCTTTCATAAGGCTCTTGTTCTTTGGTGGAGGTTAACCCATTCCATGAGAGTGATAGGTAATAGCTTAAAGTATAAATCTACCTGGGGAGTCTGTGACCTAAAGATAAATAAGTAAAATCTCTTAGATCAGAGTCATCAGTCATGCATGCCTGTAATTCCAGCACTTGGGAGGCTGAGACATGAGGATCATTGCACGTTTGAGACCAGCCTGAGCTACAAAATGAGTTCAAGGCCAGCCTGAACTGCACAGTGACACCTGTCTCAAAAAGACTAAAAAAAAGTCAACATTTAAGGGGGCTTTGATGCCAGAGGTCTGTTCGGTTCCCTTTAATTCATATCAGAAGTAGCTCCTGCTTGACAGTTACATTAAAAGCAAGAGTCAAAATCAGAGCAGGAGTTCTCATATTTTAATGGCAATTCTACCATCTAGACACAGATATAATCCACACACACTGGGGCAAAAACCATTTTCCCCAGCTATAGAGATCTGCAGGTCATGCTCAAACCCTCCCCAGGAAACTGCCAGAGAACTCCCAGCCCTGTTCCCACATCAGACTTTTTTTGGATCCTGCTGATCCAACACAGGGCAGCCAGAGACCAGCTAAGGAGTGTGTGCTTTGAGGAAATGGCACTGCCTCGCGATGGGCAATGTCAACACACAGACATCTTCTTTACCCACCATCCCAACTCACACCCCTTGGTAGGGAGCAAAACAGAGAAGGATGCAGGAGAGAAGAGAGGAGTGGAGAGAGGCATCCAGGAGAAGAGAGAGGAGGCCCAATCTCATTTCTCACCGCCTTTCGCTGCGACTATTCCTGCGGTGGGGGCTGGACTGCGCCCGCTGTGGGGAGGAAACATCCTTCTTCCGGTCCTTGGTGGGAGAGGGAGGGCCGGTCCCTTTGCCAATCTGGGTGGGGTGGAAGAATGAAAGCACACTCCAGAGCTGCCCAGAGCCCAACCTGCCCTGCTGGGAGCCACCAGTTCCTGAAGGCTGCCCTGGGCCGGTTAGGAAGCCTCAGGCAATATTCTCCCTCTACCAGTCTTTCTAAATCTACTTCCCAGGCACTAAGGCTGCAGGACAGCAGCTCCGCACAACCACTGGGCTGTCACAAGACTGTAAAACACCCCTGAGAAAAAGACTCATATACCCATGGAGGGTTCATGTGCCAGGTGGGTAAATGGCCCATGTCTGAGCTTTGGGATCTTACCAACCCCTGACTGCACTGCTTCTCTTGAGCCAATCAGAAGTTAGACTGATTGAGAGGGCTCTTACTGAGATAAACAAGGAATCATCTTTCATGCAGCATGATCAGCATGGATCAAGTTTCCCAAACATGGAATATCCCATGGGGAACTGGAGGGGGGTACATGACATGGGGACTACTCAGTGCAAAACAGGTTGGAAATGGTAGGCTAAGACAAGGTAAGTATTGGTTTCAATTCCAGATCTATCTGTGACATTAGAGACACAACTCCCAGCAGCAAGAGCCAGCGTACAGGGTTCCCCAGAGCTGACGGGGAGGACTAACTCAGAAGCAAGAGAGCAGTGCTTTGGTAACGCAGTCTGCTGCATCCTGCTTCCATCCTGGGAAGTCAGTGTCAGCCCACAAGGTTGGGCCCAGGGGGCTGGTCCGAATGAGGGAGCCCTAGCTCTGACAACACCCTGGGACACCACAGGCACCTGGGACCAGCCTCAGGAGGCTGAGCTCTGTTCCATCTGCCTCTCACTGCCTGTGAGTGAGTCTCTGGTTTCCTCCACTGGGAATGGACCCACTACCACTAACCACCTGCCTTCTGGCCTCTTAGGGCTGTTGAGAAAAATGGGACAGGAATGTGCTGTGGCTGTCTGGAGGGGCAGGGCCACAGAATAGCAGCCTTGAGGCAATGGAAGTCACCCCCAGCCTACAGGGACCCAGAGGAGCCCAAATTCTGCCTGCTCAAAGGCTCTGGAGGCCAGATTCTTAAGCCAAACAAAATTCCCAAACAAATCTCCAGACATCTGCTCATCTGTAGGGGTGAGTACAGGAGGGAAAAAGCCACTGCTCTCACTGTCTAACTCTCCTCTTCATCTGACCTCTGCCTGGTCCTTTATTGCAAGCCGGGGATTGAGTTGGAGCCAGGATGTAAAGGAGAAGCAGTGGCGGAGGCCACTCACTATATTATCCGCCTTTCCCCCGAAATGGGCCAGGATTTCCCACCAGCTGATCTTCACTCTAGTTCCCCTGATCTGAGTGCCACAAACCAGCCCTTCTCCACTGTCTAAGACCCACCACCATGCAAACCCAGTGACCCCTTCCCCTTCCAGAACTACCCCAATGCCTGCCTTAGAGGGTGCCCTCAATGAGAAAGACTGCTTAGGGAAACCCTGAAAGTCCTTGCTTGCTAGCTTCACACCACCTCTGCTGGCTGGAGCACAGGGTGAGATCAGGGAGGTAAGACCCCAGGGGAAGGACAGTCCCCCTGAGCTTGTTGGCCAAGGCTGACCTTGAGGCGCATATCGCGGGCATGGCGCTCTAGTTCTTTGCGGAAGTCCTCGCGGCCCAGCCGCTCCACGTCCAGGACCGAGTGCTTCCACTCAATCTGTTCCACACTGTGTGGGTCATGGGACACGCACTGGCCCAGCTTCACCTTCTTCAGCACATGCCAGCAGCGCCCATAGGCGGCCTCATAGTCCAGCACGAGCTCACTGAGCGTGCGGAAGGCCGGCGGCTTGTACATCAGGTCCTCGCGCCGGCTCATGCCCAGGGCGCCGTAGCGGCCCCCGAAGTTCACCCCCAGCACAATGTGGTGGAAGTAGTTCCCTGAGAAGTAGGTCTTGAAGCTGATGGGGAAGCGTTCCAGGGTGGGCATGCTGTTGGTGAGGTAACTGGTGGTCAGCCCCAGCTAAGGAAAGGGCCAGGACAGGTGCAGGGCCAGCACAAGGCATAGGAGTGAAATGGCACCACTGTGGGACGTGTGTGCCCATGAGACCCTAAACCCACAGCTCCTGAGTGCAGACACCACGGCTTGCTCATCTCCAACTCCCTGTCCTCTATCAGGCTTGGTGACAGGAGTGTCCAGTAAAGCAACCTTCTAGGAACAGGGCTCCCTGTGCTTAGTGGCTGCTGTGGTGACATCAAGCAAGGCTCTTCAAATTAACAGCTAATGAGGTATCTTGCTCCAAGCTGCAGGGCCATCAGAAGCCTGAGGCTGAGGCAGGAATGAGACACAGGCCCCCTCATCCATCTGCTACCATCCCTTCCTGCCATCCATACTCACTTCTCAGCCACACATCCTCGCAGATGCATTTTAATATTTTCTTTCACACATTGATGTCCTCACAGATGCAGGCTCAACTCTCACCGCCACCCCCTTCCCCGTCACACTGTTTGCTCCCTGTCCTTCAGACAGAACCAAGCTCATGGCCAAGGCCAGCGCTGCCAGGCCCTATGCCCATGCCAACCTCCCTGACTACTTGCCCCCCTCCCATCTGAGCCCCTCTGCACCAGCGCCTGTCTCGGGCCATTGTGCTCCCACCCCGGCTGGTTCCTCCTCAGGCCTCAGGCATAGCTGTGTTTCCTGCTTTGTAAGTTCTCTTTTTGCTATTTTTGACGCAGGGTCTCACTGTGTAGTCCAGGTTGGCCTTGAGCTCAATCATCCTGCTTAAGCCTCCTTAGTGTTGGGATTATAGCAGGAAGTCACTGTGCCAAGCTTGCTGACTCTTTTCTGAAGAAAGTCTGCTCCTCTGTCTCTTCCACAGCACTCAGCACAATCTGCCCTTTGGTGAGTTGTTCGTTTACCTGCTTATTTTCTGTCCCTCAGTAGAATGTAAGGATAGAGACCTTGGCTCTCAGGTTCTCTGATGTTTTTCCAGGGCCCAAAAGAGAGCCAGGCATATAACAGTTACTCAGTAAGAATTCCTGAATACATAGGTAGGATATAAATGGTTAAAGCATGCAGCAACTGTCACCCACAGGTGGTGTTAAGTATTCCTCATGCAGGCCTCACTCAACTGTCCTAATGATTCTGTGACAGGCACTGCCACTACCCACCTGGGCAGAAGACCTGAGGCTCACCACTTGCTTGGTCAATATACAGTAAGCAGCAGTGCTAGGTTTCCAGTCCAGAACGGTCTATCTGTTCATGCCCTCAGACACTGTATCATGTTCCCTCCAGCACCAAACTCATTGTGCAGTGCTTACTAAGCCTGATTCCTTGCCAGTGACCAGGGATTGAGTATATAAGAAATACACAGACTCAGAGTGCACTGGAAACGCAACAGGGCAATACAGTACAGTGCCTGCTGTACCTGCAATGACTGTGGGCACTGTGGGGGCCCCTTACCCAGATGGGGGTTACTCTCGTGTGCTTCCTTTCACAAGGCAACCAGGCGACTGCAGCCCGGGGTGGGGGAGGGGCACAGGGCTCCTGAAGCTGCACCTGTGTGGCTGAGGTTGGGAGCCTCATTTTGGTGCATGGCCTCGAAGGGGCCATGGCAGTGGCCTGAAGTACTCAGGCTGTCCTTTGCTTAAACTAGTAAAGGACCCTAAAAACAGCTCCTGGGAACGAGCCTGTCCTGTTACAGATGACAGCCACCACTGAGCTAGCACTGAGAGTCTGGGCGGCAGATGACACCCAAACACAGACTCTGTCTGCTAACAAAAGGTAGGTGCATCAACAGGAGAGGGACCTGGGGTCATGGCCCACTGGAGGGTCATGCTTCTCACCTTTGACCCTCACCTTCCTCCTGGGACCTGTCCCAGGGACAGAATCCTTGCTCCATGAAGCCCCTTTCTCTTCACTCCTCGCCATCCCGAATCTGCTCCTCTGAGGTCTGGGCCAGGTGGGCTGCCTGCCCCAGGTTTAAAAGCTGACGGGGATATGGGCAAAGGAGAGATGAAATGCAATTGGCTTTCCCCTGGTGAAGCTAAGTAACGGGTACACAGGTTTTCATTGTACTGTTCTGTCTGTATTGCTTAAATATTTTATGATAGGGCTGGGGATGTGGTTCAATGGTACAGTTCTTGCCTTGCATACACAAGGCCCTGGGTGGTTTGATCCCTAGCACCGAGTGCGCGAGCATGTGCGCACACAGGCGTGTGTGCGCACACACACACAAACACACGAAGATAAAAATTACTTTTTTTTTTTTTTGTCGTTTTCCTTTTTATCAGTACCGGGGATCGAACTCACGACTGCCTGCTTGCAAGGCAGGCACTTATGCCGCTAAGCCAAATCCCCAGCCCCTAAAAATTACTAACGAAAAAAAAAACAGGGGTGAGGCCAAGGTGCTGCTCCAGTTCCGACTGGGGGCCCAAGGGAGGGCATCCTCCAGGGGGTCTGTCTGTCCCTCCAGTAACCCTGCTGACCCAGTTGTGGGTCCCACCTCTGCCCTCATGTGAGGATAAAGAGCCCTCAGCTCTACTTCCAGGACCCCACGTGTCATCTCCACAGATCCCATGACCTGGACCCGCCAATCCTGGGGCTCCTTCCTGCTTCTTGGAAATGGCACAACAACTCATATTGTGCCCTGCGTCAGGATTCTGATAACAAGGTGCCTGTGTCTATGGGACTCCAGCAAAGCTGCCCAGCAAGCCTGGGAAGGAAGAACTGAGGACTCTGGGGGCAGTGAATCCCCAGGATCCCACCCAGTCCTTCCAGAGCAGGAAGCCGAGGCCTGAAGAGCCTGAGCTGCCAGGCCCCGCTCTCAGGGAAAGGATACATTCCCAGGATCACGGCTTCCAGGCATTTGATTGGCAGAGCCTCTTTGGTCATTTCCTTGGCCAGGTCCATCAGCCTGTGGGAAAGTTAGGGCTATGAGGACAGCGACTTCAGCTCCTTCGGGTGAGGGAATGTCAGGAGGGGGCAGGGTGGACCAGAAATGCAGGGAGGACAGAGTCCCACACCAAGCTGCCCGCAGTCTGGAGCCAGAGGGAGTGGGAGAGGCAGCCGCGATGATAAGGAAGCCCCCTCTCCTTCTGTCCCTTATTTCACCTCCTCTCACGCCTGGCTCTTGCCTGTGCCAAAGACTTGTGGGGGAGGGGAGCATGCACAGGAGCAGGACCTTGACAGCCGCTGTGCTGTGCTGTGCTGTGACTTTCTCTAACGGCTGTGGGGAGGTGGTGGGACCTCGGCACTGATCTCTTCCCTTCTGAGCACAGCGGACACTCTTGACCCAACTATGGCCTGTCCCAAGACCTTGTTGTTGACTACAGCTGCTTCCTGGCAGACTGAATAAATACGGAACCTCAGGCAGATGCTTTGAGCCTTTCCTGCCTGCTCTCTTTTTTTGGTCTTTTTGAGACAGGGTTTCACTTTGTAGTCCAGGCTGGCCTTGAACTCCCAGTGATCCTCCAGTCTCAGATTCCCAAGCATTGGGATTACAAGCTTATGCTACTATATCCTATCTCTCTGCTTGCTCTTGAATTTAGAGTTCAGGCCATTTTAACACACCCTGTCCCTGAAGTCCGGCTTCTCCAACCTCACCAAATTCTGCCCCAGGCCTGCCCTTGCCCAGGAGGGCTACTGGATTCTTCCACCCCACAGAAGGTTGGGGTGTGCCTCCAGCACACCGCATCAACTTAACAACAAGAACACAGCTGGGGTTTCAGGGAGGATGGATTCCACTCCGGACTTTGAGACGGGCAAGTGAATAAACCTCCTCAGAGCCTCAAGGTGCTCCCATCCCCTTGACTGGCTTTCCTCGGGGAATCCTCCCTTGTCCTCCTCTAGGCTCCCACTCAAAAGACAAACCATAGAGCTCCTCAGAGAATCCTACCCACCCAGGGGCACAGGCGCCTGGGGTGGAAGATGTGCCCCCTCGTACTTACCCTGTCAGAGGTCTGCTCTTCTTAATTTCAAAGAACTGTGTCCCTGTGTGATTGTACCTGCGGACGCTGGTTAAGGACTTCCTGGCATGGTCTGGAGGAGGGGGTCCCTTTTTCCTGCCCTGCCCCAGGCCTGGGGCCCAGCACTGCCAGGGTGCAGTCAGATAAGAATCTCACACAGTGCTCACTGTAAGGTAAGACACCATGGAGGGTGCTTCAGACTTGGTTCTCCCAGAAGGGAGAGGAGGGTACAGCTATGGTACTTGGCTCTTTCTCCTTCCTCCTCCCTTGGTCTCCCCTGGCCTCCTTCCTGTGATGGGAGGCTTTGAAAAGGCAGCCAGCACTGGAATTTCCTAGCAGCTGGAAACAGGCTGGAGGGGTAGGGGTCTGGCTCAGCCTCTGCCAGCTGCTCCGGGGACAGCCCTGCCCGCCCTGTTCCACAGCATCCCCACGGGCAAAGATAGGGGCTGGGTTGTTTCTAGTCATCAGCCTGGCCTCTCATTACTCAGGACCTGCACCCAGGCCTCCCATGTCAGACACCATCTGCAGCCAGGGACTGTGAGGACCCAGGACACACAGAGCTGTGCAGGCTGCAGGGGCCTGGAGGCACCCTATGCAGGGACATGGGGCAATCTGGATTCACAGCAGCTTTCTGCTGACCTTCAGGGAAGAAAAAGGTGAAGAGCCAGGAGAAAATTCCAAGATGTGGAAATTGACTCCTGCAGCATAAAATTCTCTCTCTCTCTTTTTTTTTAATTCTCTTTTTCTTCTCTTCTTGTTTGTTCATATGGGAAGGCAGTGCTGGGTATCAAACCAAGGACTGGATCCCCATGGTTTCAGGCAAGGTTGGCAAGTGCTCAGCCACTGGGCTACATCATATTCCCAGCTCTTCTGCTACCTTTAAGACCAGTGTCGTATGAAACCAGATTTTTACTTCCTCTCCTGGGACTGGAAAGATGATAGTGCCCACCACAGTCCCCCAGCTCAGGAGCCATTTCCCTCTCTTTGCCCTGATCACATGTCACACACAGCAGCAAGAGGAGGCTGACGACGGAGAGCCTGAAGCTGGTCCAGAAAAGACTCACGGGGCACACAGCGATGTCTCAAGGAAGATGGCATCTCCGGAGTTATGGAAGGAAGCGGCTTGGCTCCCTCTCCAATCTTGTCTGAAATGAACCCATTTGGTCGCTGGGTCTATCACACCAGCCGGTCAGAGGCCATGGCCCTGGACCAGAGAGGATACTGCAGCTCCCTGATGTAGCGCTGCACGGCTTCCAGACGTTCAGGGACTGGCATAGACGACTGGAAAGTAGGCACACTTGGTATGGGGATCTGGGGACACAGAAAAGGTTTCAGTCACAAGACAAAGCCTACATTGGGGGAACGGCTTCCCTTTCTCTGCTACCCTGAGCATCTTTCCCTGGCAGTCCCTCCTTCTGAAACCTTCTGCCAGGGCCCCATTCCATCCCAGCTCCACCCCTGCCCCATGTCAGGCTCTTCTAACGTGAAACTTACATTTATGTTCCAATTTTACACTTCTGTAGTAATTTTAGAAAAACAGGTTGACTCACCAGTTGTTTTTGAATTTCGAATATTAATCAACTTCAAAGCTTACCAAGAATTCCAGTATCAGGGTTAAGTTCATTTGGGTTTGGGGTTTGCTCTGGGCTGTGGTTTGGGAGTGGTTTGTTAAGGGCTTAGTGTTTCCAAGATGTGGGTCCCAGTGGGAGGCTACTAGGTTGTCTGGAGTCTCAGAAGAGATGAAAATTCCTCCCCGGTTGTGGTAAAGGGAGCAAGCCCTGCCCCTCCTCCTTGCTTTGGCTTCCTTTTTGGGATGTGATCCCTCTTCTCCAGCCATGATGCCATCTGCCACCGTCAGGCCCTCATCAGAGGCTCAAATGACTGTGGTCTTTCAGCCTCCAACCTCTGAGCTAAATAAACCACTTTTCTTCCTAAGTAGCCGCCTCAGGTGTTTCATTATCGTAACAACAGATGAATACACCGTGTTTCCAGTGCTAGATTAAAACTTGTCTTCTCTGTGTCCTACCCTCCGAGGGTGGTGTCATAGGCTCAGAGAGTGATGGCCCCGAGAAGGACGAACAGTCCTCAGCAGCAAGCGTTACCCACCCCAGCACCACGGGCAGATCTGCCAGGCTTTTCAAAGCACCAATATGAACTGTCAAGGAATACTCCAGCAGGCCAAAGTGAGGTACTCAAAGACAGTCTTGCTGTGGCTCTACCTGCTGGGGTCTGGGGGCTTTCGAGGGGTTTCACAAAGGCACTGCTGAGGCCTCGGGGTCTCCTTAATACCCACTTTTCCTGTCAGCTCTACACCTAAGCAATTCAGGTAACCAGACAGTCCTCACTGGAAGGGACTTTCCAACATCCTCCCAGATCTAGGGAGAGGGAGGAGTCAGCTGGGAAGGCACAGGCTGTGACTGCTGGGCTGCTGGGACTATGATGAGAAGCAGCGGCCCCTGCCACCGGCAGTCTCCAATTAGGAGGCCACTGTGCAGGTGTGGGTCCCTCCCCAGCCAGGAAGCCCAAGTCCTGGCAAACTGTGAAGCCAGAGGTACCAGAGGTGCAATAATGAGGGTCCTTTGGGGCTCCAGAACAGACTCCTGGGGTGAGCCACAGACTTCCAGGGTCAGCATAGCCCCTTGGGTTCCTCCTTTGGCCCCCATCACAGCCAGCTGTGAGGAGACCCTGGGGAGATCTCACTGGCTTGTCTTAGGGCCCTCTAAGGCTACATAACTTTCCTGTACCAACATGGAGGTCTCTGAGAGTTAGCCTGCAAGTGTAAGGGTGCTTGTGAAGGGGAGGGGCAGCAAGGAGCCAGCACAGGGTGAGCAGGAAGGGAAGGACTCATATATCCCTTCTTCCCATGACAGATCCAGCACTGGAGACACTGAGTCCCCAGGACAGTAACACAGCGCCATGGCTGTGACAGGGAGGGAAGTGACGTACGAGTTATCAGTGCACACTGGTGTCTGGGGTGTGCTGATAGTAGGGGACCATGAGACAGTGTTTGAAAGACACCTCCTCCCTCCAAAGGGCAGAGATACAGGAGGGAAGGGGCCCTGGTCCAGAATGGCAGCTAAGCAGATAGCCCTGCCTCCCCACGGTCCTCTCCTTCTTGTCTGGACTGTCCCTAGCAACCACAGGGCCCAGCAACTGACGTTTTTTGGATCTGGAGGCAGCTAGTTCCCCTTTCACATCACTCCCCTCCTCACAATGGTGCCACTGCTTCCCGTCACCCACAGAAAACCCACAGACAAGGGCTTCCCCTTCTTGCCTGAGTGGCCTGTGCCAAATAGGCTCCAGAACCTTCTAAAGGCCTGGGAGGCTTTGGAGGGGTTCCCCAGGTCAAGGATATGGGGTGGGGTGGTGGGACAGGTATTACAGGAATTCCAGATCATATATCCATTTGGTCTCCAGACCTCCTCAGAGGGAGGTAGGCCCATCCCTGCCCGTAAACTGGGGATCCGGGGACCTTGAGAAGCTTGACTAGCGCCTCCGTGAGGAGCACCACACAGGAAGGGAGCTGCAGGCCAAAACCATTTGCTGAGCTCACACAGTGCCAGGCCTGGGCCAGGGCCAGCCAGTCCCCACGAGACAGTGTTTTTGGGATCTGCCATCCAAAGGGCCCAGAGAGCACTGCTCTGTGGCAGTCATGGAAGTCCTGGGATTCCCAAGCAGGGCCTTCAAGGTCACTGCCACTCAGAATAAGGAGGAAGGAGCTGTCACCTCGTTTACCTCACCCCAGACTGAGGTCCACCTTTTCTCAGCACATTCTTTTGCATGCACACTCGTTCCCTTACAGGATTTGAGAGACTGCATCCAGATGATCAGGCCCCCAACTGCCACCTCTGAGACAGGAGCAGATAGTATTTCTTCCCTGTTGAGGGATGCGGTTACATAGGTTTGCAGGCAGGTGAGTGATCTCAGAGACAAGGAGTTCCTGCTGTCATGACTGAAGCCAAGGGGACCCCTTCCTCCAGGAACCCCAACAGCCTGCAGTTTTCACTGCAACCAGTCCTCTGGGCACAGCAAGGAGGCCCAGGGAAGGCAGGAGAGCCTGCTCTGGACACGTGACTCAGTATGCTCTAGAGGTGAATAGTACACACTCCGGAATAGACATACCGTCAAACACCACTCTGTGACTTCAGTGACACTCCCGAACTGCTCTGGGCATCACTAGTAAAATGGGCTGTATTACAGAACCAATCTTGTGGTGTGAATGAGATGCTGTGGATGCCTCAGAACAGAGCCTGGCAGGTAACAAAGGCTCAACTCCTGTCCACTGCCACCACTACTAGCATGTCCCAAAGACCATGGTCAGCACACACTAGCCCCAGCAATGGGATGCTTTTGGAGGCAATGTCCACATTCCCATCCTGTGGGCCCTTGGTGGCCAGAGTCACTGTTAGGCCTTTGGTAGCAAGGTTTAGGTACGGGGACTAGACTTACAAAGATGATGACAGCTTGAAAGAGCGAGGAGAGATTCTTTGTAAGGAGCATAAGCTGCTGTTGTCTTTGGGATCCTTCCAGAAACTGTGACCTTTTGCCAAATAGGCGCCAGAACCTTCTAAAGGCCTGGGAGGCTTTGGAGGGGTTCCCCAGGTCAAAGATATGGGGACATATCTTTTGAATATTGACATCTTCCCTGTAGAGGCTCTTTCTCCGAAGTGTTTGTGGGGTGGTCTGATGTGTACTGGGCATGAGTTAGAGCCTCACCTAATGAGGCACCACGAGCTTACATCATTAATTCTACTCAACCTCTGAAGCAGGCATTGCCATCATGCCCATTTTACAGCCAAGGAAACTGAGGGTAAGTTACCTTCTTCACTTACATGGTTTAAAGAGAACAAGAGTCTGAACTGTGATGGTGTCCACAGTGCTGTTTTTTAAATCATGCTAGCCCTGCAAGGCCAGGGTCTTAGCTGCCTGCAGGGCCAGGCAGGTAACATGATAGGGAAGAGGGGCTTGAATGCAGGGCTATGGCACACTAGGGGAGGAGGAGCAGCTCCCAGCCCCAGCTGCTGGCTGCCATGCGGACTGCAGATTCTCTGTTCTCAAATATTCTTGTCTCCTGAAACAATGCCAAAACTCCGGATGGTTACGTGAGAAATCTCCCAATTTTAACTGTTGGCTCAAGTGGTCTTTTAAAACGTAGCAGTCCCAACAAAACCCTTCCTGGGCCCACCCCAGTGCAACTCTGCAGAGGTACTTCTGTGTCAGCAGGGACACTTGGGAAGGGGCAGCCCACAGTCTGGCACCCAACCATAGCTGCTTTTCTCCAAGGACTCCCATCCCTTCTACTGCTCAGGCCTCCAGGGCTCCCCTCTATTCTGGAATGAGGTAAGGAAGGAACCTCATGCAGACTCATGTGACCTCTCGGAAACACTTCCCCATGGCCTCAGGAGGGGAAGTTTCAAAATTTCCAAGCCTGTCCACCCTACCATATTCCTGTCTGCCTTGACTTCCTCCTCCCCCACAAACAGCTTCATTCTTTCATCTGTGACTTTGCTATGACAAGAGGACCCCTTGGTGGGGAACTCACTGACGCTTTTTAGTTGTCAGGAGTGGTGACAATTCTGCAGAACGCCATCTGCACTCTTCTACGGCCTGGTTCAGACATAAGCAAGATGGCTTGCTCACGTGGGCCACGTGTCTGACTCTGGTCTCATTGGCATAAATGCTGACATCTAGTTTTTTTTCCTCATGCAGGAAGAAAAGGTGATGAACATCTATAACCAGTGTCGCTTGAAGCTTTACAGTTGCTTCAAAATATGATTTCTCTTTCATTCTTCACAATCTACCGATTCACCCCAATTTACAGATGAGAAAACTGTGGCTCAGGTGGAACGGGTTTATCTAGGGCCACCCACATGGCAGTAATCCAAACCAAGCCCATGTCCCTTATTTTGTTTTGTTTTTGGTGGTACTGGGGACTGAACCCAGGGTCTCAGGCATTCTAGGTAGGTAAGTGCTCAGATTTATCCCAAGGTGGGTAAAAATCAGAGCTGGATCCCAAAATAGATTATTTTAGAATGTTTAGCCCAGTGTTCATTTTAAGAATACTGGAAACAATGTCCATCGGTAGGAAACTAGCTAAGTAAATTACAAGTAAGTCAGTATAGAGGAAAATAATGCAGCCATTCACATTAATCTACATTTACTGCTCTTAGAAATACAGCCAGGAGATCAACCTTCAACCTCTGATTTTCTTTTTGTAGGCGCTATTTCCTGATGGCTCTATCAATAACTGGGTAAAAAACCAAAACAGGCCACTTGTCCAATGTCTAAGCCACACTAACTCCATTCTCCCCAGCCCCCACTCTTCTCACCTGAACAGGTGAGAGCAAGCACTGTGCTCTGCCCTCTGTCCAAAGGGCTCTGCATGGGGACGCTGCTTCTTCATATTTTTAAACCCATAATGTTTTAAATAACCTACTGGGCGTTTATTTCCATACAGCCCTGTCCACACAGCACAGAAAGCCTCAAACACCCTTTCATTCAACAAACAACACACCAGTGCCTGATCTGTGCCAGGCACACAGACCTTGGGGACAAAGATGAATGAGACAGCCTCTGCCTTCATTGGCCACACAACCGAAGGAATGCTATCGTGGAGGAGTAACAACCGACAAAGAAAATTATTTAACTCTACTCTTCTCCATTTCTCATTTTTCTTCTGTACTTTTACTTTCCCTGGATCTAGTGTCCAGCAAAGCAGAGGAGCCGGAGCCTAAAGATCCGGCCATGGGTCCCAACTCTACCACTTACAGGCCGGGGAATTTCAGACTTCCCTACTCAAGTTTTGACCTTTCTCATTTGAAAAGTAGAAACTCAAAGTGTACTTCAGTTGGGAGTACCCAGTAAGGTAACAGCATACAAATATTTTCTCAGCATACAAAGCCCTGTGTCTCCTGAGTCACTCATTTGTCCTCTCACAGTCTTCTGGCTTTGCAAATGTCATCAGCCAAAGGATGCCAAGCCACACTCGTGTGCTTTTTAGTCTATCTGTGGTGGTGCCCATAAAGCCTTGGGGGATATAGGCCTGTAAAGCCTTCCTTATCGACTGATCTCAACAGCAGCAGGTTCTGAGCAAGTGTGACCTGTCTGTACCTCTAAGTCTTAGCCTACCAGTGGTCCCCTACCCCATTCATCATAGGAAGAGTGCGGCTCTGCTCTTAGTCCCAAGGTCACCAGTTCATCCTGTGGCTCATTGCCCTGCTCCTCCCCATGCCTTACCTTGGGCAGGTCCGTGGCCCCACGGATCCGCTGCGCCACCTTCTCTCCATCGGGGTGGATCTTGGCCACGTGCTTCCACATCCGTTCCCAGGTGGCCTCATCCACAGGGAGCCCACCGCGGTTGACGAAGAAAGGGACGCCTCCATCTCGCAGGTCCTCTTCCCCTTCCTCCTCTGGCTCATCATCTCTCTGGGCTGAAGCCCCTTCGCTGGTCTCCAAACGCTTGACCCCAGCAGGGGCGGCGTTGGTGGCTGTGGCAGCGGCAGCCGGGACAGCACTGCTGCTGCCACCTGTGGTCACCTTCTTTCCCCCTGGCATCCCTAAATCCTCAAAGTGGGTGGGAGGACGTGTATCAGAAGGTGAGAAAAATGGGTGGCTCACAGAAGGCGGCCCACACACCAGCTGCCTCGCTAACACATGGCCAAGCAGAATGCAGGGTGCCTTTAAGAAGCCAGGGCGTGGTTCCTTTATAATAAAATACTACTTGGTAAGAAAAAAAAATCAGTGCATCAACCTGAAGTGGGGATCCTGGGGGTAAGTTGTCCGGGGTCAGCCTTCGAGGCCTTTTCTTTGAATAACAGAATAAAGAGAGCCCACCTCGGCTTGGCAGCCTTCACAAAGCACCCCCATCGGGCAGCGAGAACAATGACGGGCAGCAGTCTAGCGTGACAGAAGGGAGGATCGCCGGAGAGAAACTGAGGCCGGACAGTTCTAACGCGCGGTCGTAGAAAGGGAGAGCGCTGGCCACGCCGACCGGACCTCCCAGGCCCGGGTTTTGGAGAGGGCAAATTCCTCTACAAAACCCTCGCACGCTCACACCTTCGCGCGCGCCGCTGGGGGCGTCTGGACCGCGGGAACCCCAGGCAGCCAGAGCGCGAGTCTGGGCCCCCGGGTGGAAGGGCGGCGCCGGGGGGCGACTTCTCCGACGCGACGCGCAGCTGGCGGGCGCTGGCAGGGGGCGCAGCGACGCGCACATTCCACGCTCGCGTCCAGGTCCCCGCACAAAGTGGGCTTTGTCTGAGCCCCAGTCCCCTCGCGGAGAAGCAGGGACGCTGCGCGAAGGCCAAGGCCGGGGGCCCCGAGACCCCGAGGGTCCCCAGCCGCGCGCGTCTCAGAGGGCGCGCGGGGGGCAGGGAGCGCAGCGCGGCGCCGGCGGGGCCATCGTGGGCCGCGGACGCCCGGGCTCAGCGCGCCCGGCTCCGGCCGCGGGGGCGCTGCTCCCGGCCGGCTGCGGCATGGGCGGCGGCGCGGCCGGGCGCGCGGAGGATGCTCCGTGCCTCTCGCCCGGCTCCGGCGGCCCGGCTGCAGGAGGGGCGGAGGGACCGCGGGGCGGGCGGATGCAGCGGCAGGCGAGTGACAAAGCGCGGGCGAGCGGCCTGGGAGCGCGGAGGCCACGGCAGATGGCGGCTCCGCTAGTCCGCCAAGCTGGGGCCGCCCGCGCCCCCGCCGCCCCAGGGCCCCGCTGCTGCCCGCCGGGTCCCCAGCCCGCCGCCACCGCCCACCCGGCTCGACTCCGGTCCGCGCCGCGCATGCGCTCCGTCCCCCCCTTAAAGGGCCAGCGCCTTACGCCCGTCCTCCTCCCGCTGCAGTCCCTGGGCCCCAAGTTACTCAAGGATGCTGTGGGCACCCGCACTATTCTCACCTTTCTCTCAGGGCGCAGTGAAGTCGGCGCGAAGCTGCCGACGAAGTTTACAGTGGGCCACACAGACCGCAAACTCCAGGGAGATTCCAAGAGCGGAGGAGTTTCCTGAAGTGGGGGACAGCGCTCCCGGGGCCCTCCGCGTGTGGAGAATCCGGAGCCCTGGCCGGGAACACCCGAGTTGTAGGCCGGGTTCAGGGCTTGTTTTGCTCTAGGAGTTCCACACTTTTCATAGACCTCCACTTCTCCCTCTGTCAGCTGAGGTGATGACACTGGGTGAACTGAGTTGCTCCTAGCGCGCATTCCTGGAGGGAGGATATCTGGAGGTTGGGAGTTACCTCTGGAAACCACAGGATCAAAAGTCATCTTGCTTCACCAGGTTCCCTTAGCGGAGAGCTGGTTCCAAGTCCTCTCCCCTGAACTGGGCTTTGGACACCAGGCCCCCACAGACGGGACTGGAGGGAGGGATACTGCTCCCCAGAGTCTGGGACTAGGAAGCAATGATTGGGGTGACTCAGTCTGGACCAGAAAACGGTGAAAGTACACTTAGCTGTTTGGTGTGACTCCTGGACTCCAGGACTCAGCACAACCCTCTCCGCTCTGTTCCCTGGAGCTGTAACCCATGGAACCTGGAACACAGGGCCCACTGTGTGCTTTGAGACCTTTCCTTCGCCCTGCCAGTAGACACTGTAGTTGTCTCCAGGGGGAAAATGCAGATTCCTGGAGGTGAGAGATTGGATGTTGAGTGTCTCCCAGGGGCCCATTGTGGAAGTCTTGGTCTACAGGGAGGTGTTATTGGGAGATGATCGAACCTTTGGGAGGTGGGGCCTTATGAGAGGGCCTTATGTTGGGGGACATTCCCTCAGGAAATTTTGAAATCTGAATGAGATTTGGGAACCGGGGCTCTCCCTTGCACTCCGGGCTTGGGTGGTGTTCCATGCTTGCTCTGTCCTGCACCATGGTGTGCTGTCCTAGCTGGGGATCCGATATTATGCACTGCCCATCTTGAGCTAGAACCTCCAGAATGGCTGGCCAATTTCTGTTAGTTGTCTCAGATATTTAGTTACAATAGTGGAAAGCCAGCTAATCTACTTGCCTCCAAAGGGCAGATTCGTATTTCTTAGGTCGCTGCATTTGAGATGCTGAGGTTTCCATACCACAGTGGGACAGAAAAGACCTTAGAGCAGGGACGGTGAGACTTTTAGAATGAGCACCCAAACTACAGCCCCAAACCCACTTATTTATTACAAAATGCCAACTTTGCAATTAAACCTGAATTCCGAGGTTTGGGTTTAGAAACAACAACTCATACATTAACATCTTTTGTCTTAAAAGAAAAAGAAGTGACACTTGCACCATCGGTTTGCCAACATTGCCTTAGAGAGACCCTGGCTCTCGGTCTCCTGTCTGTTCCTTAAAGTTTTCCCTGTATCAGACTTTCCGGGTCCCTGAATTCTAGTAGCAACATCTTACTGCCTCTAGGAAAAGAAATCAAAAATGCTTAGTGATAAGGAAGATTCAAGGATTCACAGATCTCAGGTCCCTTCTTAAGCTTCTTGGGGCAAGAAGACTCCTAGCATGTAAACATCACTAGAGATACACAGCTGCCACCCTCTTAATGTATAACTGGGGAAACTAAGTCTCAAATAATAATTTCCCCAGGTCCACACATCTAACAAGTGTCAGAACTAGAAATTGCACAAAGGTCTTCCTTTTTCAGACATGTACTTTCCAATTCTTTGTCTCTTGTGTTAGCTAGTATGAAATATGCTTGCAGGTTATTTATCCTTCCTTTCAAAAATCCAGTCTGATCCCCTTGGCCTTGAGTGTTGGCTGAATTCAGGAACTCAACTTTAATGAAAAGGAAGTAGTGGAACTGATGCTGTGTGACTCTTAAGGCTAGGTCACAGAAAGGAGACAGCTTTCTTTCTCAGGAGATGCTGGCTGTCTTGTTGGGAGGAAGCCCAGGCCACATGGAGAAGCCATAGGAGGGCCATCTGGCTGATACCTCCAACTAGGCTCTCAGCCAGAATCAATCACCAGATCGCCAGTGAACTGAAACCTCTGATGATTCCAGCTGGGGCCTTTGGGTCTTGTAGCCACAGTCCCAGACAACTTCACTGTGCTCTGTCTGAATTTTTCCCTTACAGAAATCGAGATAAGTAATTATATTTTAAGATAGAAAACTGTGAGGGCTAGTTTGTGTTGCATCATTATATAACTAATTCTGTGGATTTCCTAAAAATGAATAAATAAATAAACTTGGGGTATTCACTCAAACATTGAAACAGGAAGCCCGTATGGAGCACGGTCTATGTGTCTCACTCTGTGTCGACACAGTAGTGGATGAGAGGGATACAGTCATTGCCCAAGTAGAGCTTCTGGTCTACCAGTAGAGGAGATGGTTAGATATGATTCCCATCAAGTCCTTTGCCTGAGAGTTCATATGGAAAACTATGAACTTGCCTACCCCAGGGTGGCTTCCCTGTGGAGAGGGGATCTGGGAAAAGAAGAAATGAGTAGAGTAGAAGGCAGAATGGAGGCTAAAGAATTTTCTGGCAGGTGTGCATAGAAAGGGGAGGAGACGTGTACCAGGCAAGTGGACATGCCAATAAATTAGAAAATGGTGAAACTGGAAAGGGATGTGTGTATCTCAGTCTCAGCCAAAAGCTCAGGGGAACAAGTAACTCCCCGATGTGGCATAGACAACAGGTGAACTGGGGTAAGTTCCTGGGCCCTTGTGTTTGGCCTTCTTGGCTCCTCCAGGCTTATGTCCCGGGAACAGCCAGGTCACAGACATTTGAGATGTCTTTGTTTGACTCAAAGCTTTTATGACCATTATCTTTTTCGCTGACTTCACAAAAACTCTGGAAGAAGTTAGGATGAGCATGATTTCCATTTTATAGATGAAGAAATGATGTACAAGAGAAGTTAAGCAATGTCCCTAGTCTAGGAGTGGTGCATCAGAGCTGCTGGATACCAGCGCCCTTGATTATGACAAAAGATGGAGATGATCAAGCCTAGCTCTCATCAAATATTGCTGCTGTAAACATTCTCTGGACTCGTCTTCTGGAAACAAATACACACTGTTTCAGAACATGGACACTCATTGTAATCCCTTCTGATTCATTTTCTGTATCTGTGAACCTGAAGCTAGAGTCTCCTTCCCAGACTGGAGAGTCCGGCTGATTTAGCTTGGGTCCTGGGCCCATCCTTTCATGGGTGAGGCAACTTCACTCATTGCCTGGCTATCACTGCAGGTAAAGGAGACAAAGGGCTCCTCCAAGAGTGATGGGAAACTGTCAGTAAAAGAGGCGCATGGTGATACACGGGTATAGCTGTGTTGATAAAAGGCGGACATTTCATATATATACACTACCCAACACAGTAGCCAAAAGTCAGATGTCATTTCAACTTAAATTTGACTTTGAATAAAATTTAAAATCTAGTTTCTCAATCACACCAGCCACATTATTAGCTCTCATAACCACATTTGGCTCGTGCCTACTATAATGAACAGAACTTTTTCATCTTTGCAAAAATCCCTATTGAACCATGCTACATCCTTTCATTTTTTGTTTACTTATTAATTATGAATGTGGGAACAGCAAAAAACAAGCTGAGTCATAATCTTCGCTCCTGTATTCAATTAGCATATGGTAAGTGTCTGCTCTGAATGGGTGGTTGTAGGCCCTGGGGTGCTGGGAGGGACCTCAGAGATCTTCTGGTCAGATGAAGCTCATTCCAGAATCACCAAGGAGCACTCAGTATACTACTGAAAACTCGGTCCTACCCAGCAGAGACAGTGATGAAATTTATTGGGAGTGGGGCTTGGTACCCAGAGTTTAGGAACTCTCCCCAGGTGGTGCTAATATGCCACTGGGCTTGTGAACCACTGCATTGTGTTCTCTCCCGGGAAGCAATGAGCTCTAGATAACCTGAAAACCTGGATCCAACCTAGTCTGGATTCCTCTCTAGGGTTCCTAAGATAATTCTCTGTGCGTTTGGCATCTGTCTGAACTGTGTGTGAAATTCCTAGGGGAGAACAAGTTTACTATTTTTCCTTAATCCAAGGAGAATCCCATCTACTCCAAACGAGATGCCAAACTTCTGGTTTGGAGTCCAATGTTCAGTGCTTCTTTCTCAGACTACTCATGTATTCCATTTGTGATGCAGTCTAGTGGATGACAGCTCTATAAAAATGACTGCCCTTTCCTGAGTTCCTGGTTTAGGGCAGTTGCTTCACACACAGTTTCATTTTAACTTGGGGACAATCTTGCAAAGCAGGTATTGCTGACACCAGTTTACACATAATGAGCTGAGATTCATAGATGTTAAGAATTACAACTTGTCCAAGTTCGCACAACCAGGATTCCAGAGTTCCCTTAACCCCGCTCTACCACTCTGTCCCTCCCTCATGAGGCT